TTTACCAGTGAAACCTATAGTGTTTCTTATTCTATTATATACCTTTGCATACCTAAAAAAAGTGCGTGATTGTTCTGCGCATAGACAGGACGCTACTTACGGCGGGGGGTTTATGCCCAGCTTCCAATTGTCTATGTTATCGCACTCGACGTACGCTGAATTCAATGGCTCCATTTAAGACTGCCCATATGCGTGAGCTCTCAGACACGTCGACAGGAGTACCTTGACAATTATTCTTTCTTTTGAGCTAAAATTCAATTCAATAGATACAGCAAAGCGTTTGTACGTTCTTATCTACTTTTATAATATTGTCATATAGATGCCCTATTAATTATACGAGTAAACACAATGACGTCTGACTACCAATATATGAATCGATTTATTATATTAAAACGTTCTATTTATATTCTCGCGATATTATGCATATATTTTCATTTTACTGCTGTAACTATTGCGATGTTAGATTAAATGAACGCTACAAATCACCAGGCAACATGGGGGGGGGGGGTAGCGCGTTGTTGATGGTCCTGCTAGATGTGCTCCGGCAATCATCTTCTTTTTTACGGTTGTGCACTTCACTGCTCTTTCCGCTCCATCATATACGAAACGCTAACGAAATTCCTATAACTGGCCCCTATTTCTTCATTCCTCTTCATCTGCTGATCGGCGGTCAGACATGCCGTATTGTCGCGTCATATTGCTACCGGCAATGATCTGCTGTTTGGCGGGGACCTGGGGATCTGCGGCTGGCTAGTTATGTTCCTTGACGGAGAGTTGTCAACACCAGCCGGCTGGCATTCGACGTAACTGCTGGCATGACAGCAGCATCAGGCGCATGGCAAAAGGTAACCGTGCTACCCTGCCAATATCCCGGCGGCACTTCCCGATGACATTCTCACCGCCGTCGGCGCCAGCTTCAGTGGAAGAAACAGCTTCAGAAGAGGAATCACTTCAGTTACGGCATTTCAAAGTGGTAAGGACAGCAGTAGCAGATAACAAAATACGTCAAAGCCATGAAGTAGTCGGTGCTTCGCTTTCAGCGTTCCTCTTGCTTTGTTGAATTGATACCGGAATTAGTGGTCGGCGCACCTCGCCAATAAGCGGGAAGACACGGATTTATATGTACGGTCAGTCAGGGAGCACTGGACTGGCTGAAGCTCTGTATCACCACTCGCTTTCTCTAGCGATAGTAAAGGAGTAGCAGCAGCAACAGCAACAGCAACACAACAACAGCAACAACAACAACAACAACAACAACAACAGCAACAACAACAACAACAACAACAAATCTACTTGGCTGACAGCGTAGCTGCCATAGAACATCAGTGAAAATGACTGGTCCTCCCCGTACTGATACGAACGAGGTTGCTCATTAATTGCTGAACGCACATGCGGGCAAGCTTGCAAACAAAAATACTGACGTTACCTTCCGCTATCTGACGATCCGTAGTCAAACTGTTTCGGAAACCTCTCTTTTCGCTAATATCGCCAATCCTTCATAGAATGGATTTTCTAACGGAAACATTAATACTCCTTGTACGGACTCAGAAAACAGATAAAACCCTTGTTCAGCGAACGCAACTAGACAACAACTTGTGAAGTTGGACTTGGGGTGGGGTGGGCATTTGACGTTCGTTAGGTGTAATCGATGTAACAACAAATATTAGATCGAAGCGCTGAATTCGAAATGATAAAGGACAGCGGTGTCTATATAAGCGTCAAGCTAGAAAGTTTAATATTACTCAGGTCTACCCCTGACATATTTCAAATCACTTTATCGTAACTCTACCAATATACATCGAGAACGATTCAGCTCTGTTTGTAACACATGTGAGGTGCGTGTACGTCTTTTTTTGTACAGAGTTTTTGTATAGTGTGGAAGGGGTCGACTAGGAATCGAGTGAGATGCCCTGATTCTTTATCCAGCTCCCGGGAACACTCAAGCTGTTTTAGAGTTAAATCCTTTGAATTCCGTTTTGAGCCATTGAAATAGTGGCACTCAAAGTGTAATTATTTCTAAGTTGGAAATTATAAGAGATTTACCTTCCCGATCACTATCAACTACAGCAGACGAAAATGCATTTGGTGGAAGATCATAAGGGCATAAATTTATCTGAGTTACTTACTTCCCAATAAATAGATAATGTTCACCTAACATCATATTTATCTTTGAGTAGTTGTTAACATATTTAGAAAAAAAACTAGTTCTACAAAAATACCTACGACCTAAAGCATTTAGCACTCCACAGGCTTGAATATGGCCATTTGCACTGATGCGAGCTTTCCTCTTCTGCTCCTTATTGGCCTATTTTTAATCACAACTTCACAAAGGAGCCAGTTCCATATCAATCATTTGCTTAGATATCACCGTTCCCATGGTATCCCCTATAATCTAGGAAATTGTAATCGAACCCTCGGTGCTCCGAAGTGTCATAGCCAGAATACCTCTTCCTGACATAGAAGGTTAGAGAATATGTCTGTAAAGAAGGGTTAATATTCATATGCGTATACGAGTCCGGTAGCTTCGCTTTTTAATTTGCTAACATGATGCAGCCTGCCCCAAAATCTCAGTGACCACCCATCTCAGCCCGGACCACTACAACCAGCAGTTACGTATCCCGTGTTTTTCAATACACTTCGGCGCCTATGTGTATACGTACGTGTATCATAGCGTATATATATGCTATAAAAGGCCTCTTATATATCGATGCTCGTCATAAAAACAGGACACCCGCCGCTAAGAAGCCTATATTCCAAATTCGCAAATTTTCTTAAACAACCATAGGCTATGACTACGTCGTAGTTAGCGTGAATATTGTGTCAAGGTGTAACTTGACGTTTTACGGCAGATTCGAAACACATAAGACTGCATCATTAACAGGGCTGACGCTCAGATATTACATTGATACGAAGTTTTGATCTATACTATGAGAAAAAAACAATGATGCTTTGTTTTTTTAAACGTCACTACTTGTTTGTTGTGCTTTAGAAAAAAAAAAAATGGAAAATCTAAACCCTTACAAATTTTATGAGAGGATACATCGACATATCCCCGGGCTGTGTCGTCATCATTGGAAGTTTCGAACACCGCCAGTTATCAAACACTGCTTTTTAAATGCTTCTTTTTTTTAATTGTGTAGGCGTCACTAGGTGCGTAACGTTGGATAAATATAGCTTTATATATTGCACATATTTTCTACTCGAGACTATTTGACTGTTTATAGAGAATAACTGCACGAAGCATTGCGGTAAAAATGCAATTTCCTATGATTTCGTCCTTAAACCTTTACTGGTGCTTTTGGCCACAGGTCATGCTCCGCATTTAAGCCCATAATACAGCTCACCCTATGCCTATTTATTGCTTGCTGACATGTCTTTGTGCTTCGACGGCCAGGGTTGGTATAATGAATGATAAGTGAAGATCGACTCTGACATTGCATTTTGGACTCTGTCCAGCGAACGCTTGCAATTATGATTTATGACAATTGACAATTTGCTAATTATGGCACACTTTACCTCGAATATCATTAATTAACACCAGTTTGTATTATCCTACTTTGTGTTGCTACCCGGATCACCACGGTATCGGTTTCGCACAATAGTGCTCAATTTTTTGGCAAAGTGAAGTCGCGATTTGAGCGATCTTTATTTTGACTTTCCTATACGATCTTTCTATTTAAGACAAATTCTAGATTATTTTCCAGCTTCTTGTTTTACTTCAGGTACAAAATTGTACTTATCCATACGACTATGCGACTCATGTTTAACAGAAAACGCATTGAGTGTTTGATCTCTCCACTACCAGCAACGATGTATGATTGGATAAGTGTAAAAATATATACAGCATAATAACCGTTTCTTTTATTCCTCTTATTTTTTTTTTATCGATTAATGTTCCAAAACCAAACAAAAAAAGGCGCCAAGTACAAAACAACAAGGCTAAACAATGTTCCTTTCTGACGACGTTAAGGGAAAGAAGACGTCAAGGCGACGGCACACATCGTACTGCCTGCGGTGTCGTTAAAGTACTGATATTGAACGTAGAAGCCACTGTTGATGGCAATAATGACAGCGCTCAATTCCGCTACAAGATAAAGCATCAACGCTATCAACAGCTGCGGCTGTACAGCATCATCGAAGGACTCTTATTCTGTAGCTTTTTGCCCTTGCCGCTGTCCTGGGGTCGGTTTTCATCGTCGCCGTCACGACCGGATATGGGGGAATTTGTGCAGTTTACAAATGCTACGGGGGCGGAAGAGGGACGGGGGTCATAGAAGGTAGTTGGATTCCTTGGCGTTTCTTCATTGGGCTGCCGTCATCAGTTTACTGGAAGTACGGAAAGGCCAGAGCGTCTTGGAATAGGACTGTTGACTTTTGATGTGTCGTGATCAATACACTTCCATGTACATCGGTTTTATTTAGATGGTGAACCTTTTGTAATAACGACTTCGACTTACAAAACGCACGCGGTCGATTGGATAGCAGCATGTTACTGCGTATTGAACGCTCCGTGTGTTTAGTGACGTTAACACGGAACGATCAATTTTTTTTTAGTGAGTGCTGAGTTCACTGTTCCTACCGCTGGACATTATTTTTTTCCATCTTCACCGTATCCCCCCCTCGATCTGTCGTATCATCCAGTAGTTGTATAAAATAAAGGCTGTTCTACGGGACGATATGTCACGTTTTGTGTGCAGCAGGCTAGTTCCGCTTCTGACAAAGGAAAGCCCACTTGGATCTAACAACGGACCGCACACGTTCTTACATTATACAATAGGACATTCATCCAATGTGTACAATTGTAAATACGTATTTACTAAAATTGGTAAGCTGCTATATAGAGGGGACCTCTTATCTCGTTATATAAAGCATCTTAGACTTGGAAAAGTTCGCATGATGCCACTCGACCAGTGTAACTTAGGAATGTACCCAAATATCTTCAACTTATCCTCTTTCCCTAGTTTTATCAATGGGGGTAATTACTGCGGCGAGCTCAGAATAAATGGCCCATACCGTTATGAACGTGGGTTATTTAACTTCGCTTCTCTGATGTTCTGCTCAGTCTGTAGGAAAGCGTAGGATATTTATAGTGTTCGTTTCAGCCGTTTCGATAAGTAGATGGCCCGAAGTCGCCTGTAACGCCAATTAAAAATTCACAAATGTGATCAGAAGTTAGAAATGATCGCCCTGAAATACAAAGACGCAATGACAAAAAGCAGAAATTATCAGTCCTTTATTGAATTTTCGCTTTATGTAAGGACAAAATTTGTATGGTAGAGGTTCAATAGCTTCGACGGGTTGTTTTCAACGAAGTCGTCAGCGTCCACAGCGGGAGACATACCTTGGCAAAGCAGCTTTTGAAATCATTGATATATAATTCAGGGTTTTTAATAACAGAAAACGTCAATGCTTGAAGGTATGTTAGCGAACTAAATTGTCCATGTGATGCGAATACAACAATCAAGGATAGATTTTACAATATATCATTGTTCCTTATTGATCTAAGCATAAAAATGGCGTCTCCATTACCGATCCTCAATGTTTAGGCGTAGAAACATCACGTCTAGACAGAGCGATAATTGTATAGTTTTCGTCGTACCATCGCGACGTTTAATCTACAGCCGACTGTAAATAAAGTCGTCTCGTAGGAACTATTAGATGGGATGTCCTGTATATTGCCGACATATAGCCTATGTTTAATAGAATATCATTTTCTATCTAACGTAAAAATGACAAATTAAATTGATCCAAGGCAGAGGCCTTGTGGGACGTTATGTATGAGCACTCACCGCTAGTACTACTGTTAGAACTATTATAACGTCTAACAAGGAAGGATCTGTTTTCGGGCCAGTTATGCTTTCAAGAAAGCGACCATCTCTTACCGTCCAGAAGAGTAAATTTTTCTATGAATCTAAAAGGATCCACAAATGATAAAAGCTTAAAAATATGGCCGACAAGTAATTTTCTAAAGAATATACAAGAGGACTGCGCAATTGGCTTACACCATTGTCGACACTCGATTTTTGCCTATTTTAAAACCGGCGTAGTCAAAGATTGCCGTAAGTGTTCGAATACAACAGCAGCAGCAGCAGCAGCGTCATATGATCCAACAATCAAAACGTGCACGGGTTCCATTATCAAAGAAAACCTAATCATGTATTTCATGCAATAAGGGAGGTGCAAAGTTTGCCGAGGCGCAAAAGTGAATGAAGAAGTTCTTTCAAATAATTTACTTCCCTAAAATTACGGGCTATAACTTTGTAATGCTTTGTAATGACACTATAGCGTTCTTTCTTGTTGAACATTTATTAGCGTGGCAAAAAAAAAAAAAAAAGACCATTTAAACTTGATTTCGATTCATCAGTTACTTTAGGTTCATCGGTTATTCTGTTTAGGCTTCGTCGTTGTCTCACACAATGAATTAGGTCCCAGTAACGTATCTATATTTATAATAAATTAGTAAGCGGTGGTTGTCCGCGGTGGACATGTCCTTCGATAAAATCCTGCGCGAGACTGCAACGTAGTGTAATAGTGTAAGGAAAAAGTTGCTCTTCGATCAACACGGAGCTATCTGAAATGTTCTAGTAATCTTTTCTCGAAAAATATTATTCATTGTTCCAGATGCTTCCTGATTTAATGGAAACACAATAGTTTGACTATGTTTGGTAAGGGCCGGCTAGTTTTATTGTTGTTACTATCAAGTCGAAGTTCAAAATGTCGGAATCAGTTCAGATTGTCCCCTATCAACCGGTCATTGCTATAAATTGACAACTACTGAAAAAGGTACTTGTAACTAGCTACTGTTTAGCAGGCTTAAATTCCCGCAAAATAGGACCAGCCTACTTACAAGCTGACTAGAAAGCAGTGACGAAACAATGTCACATCTAGTACGAGCATTATAACCCTATGAATGCGCAAGCCATCTCCCAGTGGATGTTCCAACACTAATTTAATTGTTCATTGAACAGTGGATGAGGTCGTCGACGATTTGCTATTCTTTCTATGGCATATTTTTGTTTCATTACGACATCTAGGTTATTTAGCTTATAGATGCACTAGCGATGAGGACGGTTAGAGTGAGTCAGTACCGTAACGTCACGTAATGGTCTGACATCCAAACTAGCTTCCTCTGGCATGAGAATAGAGCCTACAACGTTCTATAACTGCTCAGACTTACCCGCAACCAGGTATTTTATTACTCCTGAACGCTACGAAAAATAATATGGGTGAAGAGTAGGGAACTGACAACACTTGATTTGTTGCTTGATGGCCAATTTGTCATCACAGTACGCTTAACAACGGAGAAACGCAAAGCTGACTCGTGTCGTAGCCAACAAGATATCGTTTGTAAATATTTATCGTTGCACGTAAGCGTTATGTTAGCGCTGGAAGTATATAGCCTTGCCGTTATAATGATTTTTCGTCTGACATGATATAACATTGTGCGAAACAGAACCTCCGTTGTTTACTTACAACGCTCAAGTCAATGCTGAAACTGTTTTTAACCGCAATCCGTAAGGTTCTTATTAAGAAGAAGTACTACGTATACTTTAATTTGATGATATTATTACAAATATTATAGGATCCTTTTTTACCAGCTCTTCCACATCTCTTTACCAGCAAGCTCGAGGTAGTCGACTCGAAACGAGCTGCTCGTATAATAATTGATATTTAAAGCTTCCAAGGCGAGCAGGGTGTGCCCAGTTCTATATCCCGAAAGTAGTCACCTAGGGCACCATTATTAGGTGTTCCTGGTCAATTCTGGCGCCTAGTATTTGTATTGATGCTTTTTCATCCGTCCTCGCGCAGCGACAACTTTCCGAAGCAAGAAATAGAGTACGTTCCGCAGCAGAGCTCTATTCCGCAGATATTGCTTTTATGTGTTGTCCTTGTAACATGGCCCTGTGAAGCCGGTGCGACCATTGCAGCAACGGCAAACCCGAGGAAAATCACTGGCAAGCGACGGGTCTCGAATTTACTCGCTTTGAGACTACGGACCAGGGTTTGCGGCAATGAGAATGAACACGCTGTTATTGTTTCTGTGCTTCCGAGGGGTGAGGGTAGGCCGACTAGAAAAGATGGACTCTACAATGTACTTACCCGTCGCATACGATCAAGACGAGTGCAGTTACCGTACACGTGGACTATAGAATGCATCGTGCAGCGAGAGAAGCATATGTATGAACTGCATTTTTCAGGTGATAGAAAAAGAACCAGCAAGGTAGAATGTTATGCCCAGCTACAGTCAACAGACCCGTAGTTAAATCTTCCCCAGTATGATGCACTAGCTACACAAACGGTGCCCACAACATAACGCCATGCGACCATATTGATAGTGATAAACTAGCTTTGAGCAATCATCCCATTGCACGATTTCAAAATCTATTCACTTTAATTCCAAATAGAAAAATCGATAAAACTTCCACGAAGAGGCAACATTACCTTCAACCAAGATGTTAAGACTACTCAGTAAGGGATCTAATGCAAACAAGAAAGAAAAATTACATTGTTACATTATGTCGCAAACCAGTGCCCTGCCATCATGTCAGTCTCTTTTTATCAATACAGCAGATGCTGATAAATGAATTTGAATATTGGCGCGCAATTATGATAATAATTATTGCATTTGCACGGTTATTATAGCATTTATGTTCACTGTACAACCGGCTGAACGTACCAAAGTATTGCGCGTACAGACACGGCTGACGATACGTTAGTCAAGCTAACGCAAGTTTTGATCAGTGAGCGTTTTCGGCTCGAGGTCTTCCTCGTTTAATTTGCCCCGCCGCATTTATGCCAGCACCTCATAATTCAGGCACTGTAACTGCTGTTCTCCTAGTTGGGCAACGATTAGGTTATTTTATCGTATTACAGCCCACACACCTGCGAACAGTGTAAGCAGCAAAAAACAAATGGGGGAACGATGCCCCCGCCGCTGCTGGCCAGTACGCTGATTGGGTCTGTCTCTAGATACTATACATCCTGTTTCGTACATAGTCCTACATCATATTCTGTTCGTATATCACATTGTAATTATAACAGTTAATTCTAATCAGTGTCTTTTTTTTGTCATGTCTGAAATATTGTTCTTTTCAGCATTACTGTAGCCCCGATTATTATCGCCAGTGGTGATAGAAGCATTATTATTCTTATAATTGGCATTGCCTCTTTTTCGTCTGCTAATTCTGCCACTCGAATGGTGGAGGTAAAGGTCAACTTACCATTACAACGCCAACCTGATACTTTATACAAATCGTCGGTGTCATCCCCATCCCTAGTCGGTCAACCGTTGTTGCCGTTGCAGTAGCAGTAGCCCCCGTCAGCGAGATCACCAATCATCACGCGGATGTCGTTCGTCGTGCAAAATGCAAACCGACGCGTCGATGATAAAAAAGTGACCTATCACACGGCGACTGGCCATTGTTGCTAGCAACGGTTCGAATTTCGCGAGCCAGGATATGTGCGACGAGAGTACTGCTCCGCAGCCCTGCCGCCCACACAATTACTCTTTATCACGAAGTCTACCTAGACGAATAGGTGCGTTGTACAGTTGTTATTGATGTCCTTTTCATTGATGATCGCTTTAGCTATGTCTATGTTCTTTTTCTTTTATACCCCGCCGCTACCGTCACCGCCGCCGACCGCAGCACTTCACTATGGCTATTCTAATATATTTGAATTGTAATGCCTTATCATCGATGTAAATCAGCCTCGACATTAATGTTGTTTATCATCACACACGGCGACTGCGTCGATAGCGATCCGCTTTCGCTCGGCCAGACCGAATGCTTCGGTCTTCGATTTTTGACGTTTGCACGGCGGATGTTGCCTAACGCTACACAGCTCGTAAGAAGCGCGGTTTGGCAACGCGGAGATGAAGATGATCGGGGATCTTGGGATGCAATATGATCATGAGCGACCAAAGTGGGTTTGGCCGTTTTGTGTCTGGCGTTCGTTGGTTCAAGTAATAAAATAGGAAAATTCAAGGAGAGATTACAAAAGGTACGATCTATCACTGGTTGCATTGCTGTGCTCCATGCAGCCACAATGAAAAACACACGCGGGAAATGACGAATCAAGAAACTATGTTGAAGCCTGATGTGAAATCAGGCTTCGACACCCTTGCGGCCTAAGATGTCACGTTGACAAACTTGTCGATGACATAGACAACAACGACAAAAAACAGGCAAAGCTCAATCTTTACAGAAACCAAGCTGTTGGTACATTATTTCATTAAAAAATAAAACCTACTAGTTTCTAATGAATGGGATAAAAAAATCTAACAATCTATGATAAATGGTGTGTATAGTAGGACCTATGTACAATACCTGCAGAACATGCCCCAAGGTAAGGGTGACTTTGTCATTATTTACGCGCTGATTGATGGCTCAACGACACAACAGAATGTCTATATGAAGCGGTTTTCAGTTAGAATCTACGAATTTTTTTAGTTGCACTCTGCTTCAATGATTGCAGGTAGTAACTTAGTAAGTCACAGAAGTACGTACGTTTTTTACCCTCCTTAAACTAACTCTTTTTACAGATTGTCGTATATAAAATTCGCCAGAGGTGTCCCTTCGTATTATACTATTAACTAGACACGGTAAAATCACGTGCGTTGTCCTCTCTGTGTATGACCTAGTTTATTTGTACCCAAGTAAAAGTTATCACCGTTTATAACTAAGGCACTTTTTGGAGTAGAATCTATTAGACACCGGTTCTTATAAATTTTGACTGCTCTGAAATTTCAATACTATCCGAAGGAAACCAACTGAACTTCTAAAGGCTAGTATACTCCTGGATAGCATGGAGCATGAAGTACTCTACGTTGTTTCAAAATAGTAAAATCATTAGACAGTTACTTAGTGATACACCAAGTTACGTTGTAATATTTAACCGTTACGAGCGTCTCCGTCTATAAAATCACTTTGATGACTCCTCCTTCGATGTGGCGCGGCTCGATGCTTCTATAGACCTCCTTGTTTGTTTTACTTAAAACGTTACAAAACTTAAATTTTTTTTTCAAATTAAAACATTAATATGGTACCCGAAACTAGACCCCTCATTGTATTCATTACCTCGTTAATCACGGTTAGGACGCAGATATTTGGCACAGGCTTGTGTTCACTTGTATGGAACACCCCCAATAATAAATTGCATTTTACGTCCTACAAAAAAGGAAACCCCATTGGGGTCTAACGCTGCTTCGTATGCCGTCAGCATAACCATTGGTGTCGCCAAAGAAACCTAGACATTCACCGTACCGAACTACTCATTGTTTACTCATTATGCTGTAAACTGGCAACTAAGACATCGGTAATTTGGAATTTTTAAAACTGCAAAGCTTGCAGCATCATATAAATACGCTTTTCCCTATCTTCTATTAGCCCCAGTTCCGCCCGTCTTTCGACTCATCCTTCGCAGTTACTTCATCTGTAGATACCTTTGTATCTAATGAAGTGGTCAGTTCACGTCAAAGGGGCATGGATACACGGAGACAGCCACCATAATTACCCGTAATGGCTGTATTATGATAACAGTAGCACCTCGAGTTTGGCATTTTTTCTGTTCTTATTATAGCACAAAATTACCAGTGAATGCTTCATTGTCATTTGGTTATAAAGAGCCTTACGTGGGCCTGCAGCAAAACCTACCGCTAAGCGTCCGGTCCCCCCCCCCCCCTCCAAATTACTCATGGAAGGCCTGAAGAACATAATTGACATGTATAATTCAATACTAAGTTCCGACGAGCTGGTATCCAGACAGGCGATCCTTCTGTAAGACAGCACCAACCACTTCAGCAGCACCGTGGAACTGACCATTTTGCGATGATCCGCGTCAGACTGAACGGCAAGATAAATCATCAGATCAGCAACAGCAAATGCGGCTCTGATGATTTATTATCACCAGTAGTATTATGACGGAGGTAGCGGGGGGGGGGGAGTAGGATAAGCAACGACGGTATTATAGGAATACACTAGCATCATACATCTTTAATACACATATATCATCATTCAGTCGTATATGTGCTATTTGCATAAGGCTACGATGTGCAGTTGTGCCCATCTAGACGTGTTCGGCGTCAGTCAGAAAGCCAAGATGATTGACTACCTCATCTGGCTACAAAGATGCTAAGTAGTCATTGTTACTGTGGCTGCGACGTTATCATTGTTATGATTGTATGCCCTTCATTGATTTCGTACTTCCACAAACAACGACAGTCGCCATTCTACCAAAACGTATTTGAAAGGAAGGTTTCATCGCAAAGCTCGTGTACGATGCGCTTCGACTAGCTAGCAATGTATACATGTGAACCAACAGGAAGCTGGTCAATTTTCCATAAGTCACTTGCAGCACATGCTGCTAGAAGCATGCATCGATGTAAAGAACATTTTCAGCCATAGTACAGAATGCGCGATAAATTCCTTGGGGGGGGGGGGAGGCTCCTTCAATAAAAATGAACTATTTACATTCACACGTCAATTTGAAAATGTTGGCTGAGCTAAATGAGATGAGAAGCTTCGTCTCAGCCGCAAACATAACCCATCGATTACAGTCTTCCTCCCCAGTGAGTTTACTTTGTAGCATTATTGGTATTTCTGCTCGCTGGCGGGTAGCCGTTTAACTCGATGAAGTTCTTTTATAAAAGTACCTCTTCGAACTACCTCTATTCCATTCCTTGTGTTTTCATTTTCAAATCTTTTTTTCTTCAAATTCAAAATTACTTTTTATATATAGGAGTTCTGATTTAGATTAATCAGTTTGAAGGAATTTACGCCGCTTCCGATTATAATTACAACTGTTATATTGATATTATGGCGACGAATGTCGACGCGTACAATAACCTCGACCTCTATACTCCGTTAAAAATACTTTCTTGACCCACCTCCTGCAGCGAGTTATATGGAGAAGCGTGCAATACTGGATACGCAACAACTGATGTGATGTAAACTGCTTGGTGGTATACGGAAGCGCCGAACGCCAAATGATTTCAGGACCTCGAAATGGCATCAGCCGATCTTAACCGGCCAGATTCGAAGGACCCGAAAATGACCCGTATCCTCGTGTATCTTATCTATGCCACAAATGTTTCGGTTCAAGGAATATGACACGTGGGATCTTGCTGACTGTAGAATTTGCCTAAGGGCATTTTCAACGGTATATGGCTATCTACGACCAAAATGGACGTTTATACTACAAGCGGAAACGAGGTAAAAGACGTCAACAGTTTTTCTCAATGTAATCCCATACAGTACATGATCGGTACACAAGAAGTTTATAGCCACGCCAGACAAGCTGCCCTTGCAGAAGTTGAAACACTTGGTTGAATCGAAAAAAAAAACAAAATGGAATTATCTTAAAGCAGAAAACAACAACTTCCAGAGCTTTATCGCTAGATACAGCTTATGAGGTTTATCAGGCTCACTCACTTGAAGTCGTTCTTCAGGCGCTTACATTAGGAAATGCAGAAAAAAAGCTTTTCTATTTAGCGCCCATGTACATATAAACATCTAAACTTAGGTCTAGCTGTTGCTGCTTAGAGCCAGCTGGCAGCTGTTAACACTCTATTCAGCGACACTGTTTCATTTCCCGTAATATATATATATATATATATATATATATATATATATATATATATATATATAGCCGTAACGACAACAGGACAACAAGCTAGAAGTATAAACATCTCATTGCAGTCAGTGTAGATTTAAATTGTTTGTCCTGTAACTCGTATCCCGGCTTTATAGATTTACAACTATATATAGGAAGATATTAGCCCGTGTATCCATAAGAACTGCTGATAGAAATTATATGAAAATTCATAGACATTCGCGGTAGCCATATGCACGACAGCTTGATGGTCAAGGTTTGGGATCCACGAGCATCAAAAGGCAATAAATAGCCTCTTCATGTCAACAATAAAATAATCTGTTATCAATGCACATAAAAACATTGCTATAGTATTGCAGAACGAAGCTGGCGTCTGCCTTTTGGAATCGTCATACAATAATAGTAAGACTCAATGAAATATAAACACAGGGGATAACGGTAATCCCAGTGTTCTTACAAAATAATTGTTCTTCTATGCGTTAGTTCCATCATTCGGAACTATGCAAGCAGGATATTCATGGAAACAAACAAACAAAGGTACCCTAGCAAAGCTCGGCAGATGTTCATACTCGCAATAATCAAACAGAACTTCAGCAAAAGGCTGTCAGGCAGGAATGTCGAACCTGCAAATTTGCCTATCCAATAATACAAAGTACAGTGCTTTTTTATAATTACAAAAGTGACATGTCCTGTTCTAACGGTTGTATAAAGAGTCCAAAAAGAAACTGCGTTTGCTAAAAAGGGTCCTTTTCTAGTCCAGCAGTCTAGTTGATCCGTACCAGTTAGAATTAGCTGTAAATTGGATAGGCCTATAAAAAAAAAAAAAACGCTATGTATTTCTAGTGATCTTGGAGGTCGAGGAAAAAAGCTTCTTAAATAGGCACTTCGTTCGACGGCGATATCGCTGCTACATATTGGCCATGGATCATCGGGTACACCTGTATGATCGTTTGTGTTTTATAATAAATTACGATATAGGAATGTTGATATAAAGACTGGTAAACGGCCTAAAAATACATTCGAAATAAAGAAAAAGCGACCCCTATATTGTCCGAGCGAACGAAGTCTCGCCTGATTCATTCGCAGCTACGGGCCGTTATCCTAATTTCATCGTCCTAAAGCTTATTCTGTCGGAACTTTACTTACGTTAGTTGCGATAATTTTCAATGCAACCTATGCTGAATGGCTTCCGAGCACATAGAAGGAAAGCAATTGTTTCACGTGTGTTTGCATATAAATAAGTTACAGTTTTGTCGTTTTTACTTGTACAGTATATATTTAGATATAACAATAATGTCGACTGGACGCGATTTAGTTGTATCTTTTTTGGGGTCCTCGTACGTATTTCGCTTCGTATTCAGCGTATCTGCCTTCTTTCTGCCATGCAGTGTCGTATACCTGGATAAGTGGCCATATGTGATTAATACGCTGACAATGGAGGTACGGACTATGAACTAGCCACAATATCCTCGCTTCTCGTTTCATGACATGTTTTGTTATGTTACCACGCCGGTAAATAGTATCCGTGCGTATTATGCCGTCATCAAAATCGTCGCCCATGACTCGCCGGCATCATGGAGCGTCGTCGACTCCAGCGTTAGACGCCCCATCAACAATAACAACTGCTACGATAGCAAGAAACAACAAATACACACACTGTCAATAATGCAACGCAGCATCCCGTAATTAGCTGTCCATACAGCAATAGATAGAAACCCAGTACCAAATAATTACCACCCTCATTGTTATTGTTGTGGTTGTCGTCGTACCAGCAAGCCATAGGCATCACCCATGATGATGATGATGATCTTGTGTCGCCATAATCTATAGTAGATCCTTTTTTGTGGCCAAACAGGCTGTACACCTCGAAAATGAGAAAAACTGCTAAACAGAAAAAGTAGTACGAATATATCTACAATGAGAACTTCCTGTTTTTTCCAAGTTTTTTCTCCTCGCCACATGTTCTCGTTTCAATCAACAACATCCTCGGAACAATGGACGTAGCAATACAATAATGGCAATAAAACTGTGACCCCTTACTTGAACCTGAAGATCGTAAGTGGCTCTATAGGTGATGAGCGTTTATCCGCTCAAAACGTTGAACGACGCTACTGATGATGGTGGCCATCCTGTCGGTTCTCGTTTTTGACGTCCCGGTCACTTCATCAACCGCTTTACCGATTTCGCTGCGGTAATGCTCTTCACTATGGCTAATGGACGAAAGCACCTATACCCAGCAGTGGGATACCAACCAGCACGCAGGGGCTACTACTATGGTATGAACTGGTATAGTTACGAGATGCGAGGACCGACGTGAGCGATACCTTTCCAAATACAATGGTAAAAAAAAAGAACGAAGCTAGTATTATTATACGAGGTAATATCTTGTCCAGTTAATAACACAGCATAGGATAATTTTTTGGAGTTTTCCTTTCGGGCGTAAAACTTACGTACCGGTATTAACATGAATATGGTCCAAGGACGTAATACAATCGTAGCGTATAGTTTATACTATAAATATGTTCCGCTGTGTGTGCAATGCGTCTTCTTATATACCTAAGAGCATTTATGAGTAGTTGGGCCTCGATCTACAGTATTAGAGAATGTTTGATATTGTTATTGAAGAGCTGTGAAGAATGTTGGGTTTACTAACATTCAAAATGAGAGTATAACGCGTGCTTCATTGTATCGTATGATCAGTATCTTTCCGTCTGTTATGGTAAATAACATATAGAAAGATAAAGGTTTTCACTAGCGTTTTATTTATCTGCAATAGCGCGTTGACGATGGTAGTCAACATACAAAGTGCTTAGTGCAGATTGATTGATGGAGGTTACACTGGTTGAGCTAATCTTGGTCTGCTTCCCAAGAGCATTTTTACTAGCTTCATCGGAGCATCTTTTAGTAAGATAAGGCGCATTCTAAATCACTACCGCAATTCGCCCCTCATACGTATGGGAATAACGGAAAAATTTACTTTGCACGATTCTCTATATTGTACGAGAGACGTTCATCTCTGTATGCCTTTACTATAAGACATATATATATATACACATATATATCTCTCTCTCAGGCTCTTCAGGAATTAATAGGTTTTTTTTTTTCTAGAAAATACACAAAAAATACGCAAAGCAAAAAGTTAAAAAGTAACCTTGCATTGGAGACTCCTGCATTAGAGAAAAGCACTCCGCGAGAAAGCGAGCGAAAATCCATTCTAGCAGTATTTACAAACGCACCAAATCATCTGCTGTCTTCTTTTTCTTTGTGTATCTAGCAATACGCTTTGTACTGTATCGTGAAAAACTTATGTTTTACAGAAGTGTACCGTATCGTTAAGTGTGTCCCACCTCGAGACTTAAACCAGCGACTTTTAGCTCTACTGCCGTTTAACATGCTAGCCACGATAGCGCTCTTAACCCATAATGCTCCTTAGCATTGATCACGACACTTTAGTTGCAGCCTTACCTACAATATTTAAGATTACCTAACGGGTGCAGGTTTTTCTATTGTACGTGTGCATTACTGATTGTGTTTAGTCGTTCATTACCAGAATCGGTTATCGGCATCCTAACGGCCGCATACAAAAATGCGATGCCTATTTATGTTAGGCCAGACATCGATTGTATCGTCGTCGCAAGCTATTAACGACAGACCGTTAACAACAGTTTAACAATAGGTTACAACCTATGTAGACCAGAAACGGATTGGAGGTTCGATGAATGATGCAGCTGTAGCCCAGTCACAGGGCGAATAATAACGGTGTTGTATGCAAGATGCCCCTCTAATTAGCCCCGCCTGTTAGCATATTTGGCCCTTGCTGTCAGCGCTTGGCATCATTAAGCAACCTTTGTCTAGTGAGCCGCAGCTGTAGCTCGACGACAACGGCCTGTAAATGAGATTATCTACGGACTGCGGCTCTGTCCCAAAATTATCAGGTATTTTCTCTGGATACCTATGATATTAACGTTAATTTTGTTGTTTGGGTATATTCCGTGTGGCGGACAGAGGTTTGTTTCTGTACAGGTAAAGTGTGCGAAAATTATAGTTTAGACTGCGTATGCCTATGTTCTTTTTACCAGAAGAACATAGTAGTAGAAGTAATAATGTTTGTTTGTGTACCATTATGTATCTACCATTGCCATATCTTTAATGAAGTGATGATTTCGTATGAAATTCACATGCAGAACCCTGGCTATCTGAGCACTGGACATTGAGGTGCTGTCCCATAACGCTGCATGTGGTGATATTCTAACCCAGAAACATATGATTGGTGGTTAGGTTAAAAGCCAATCGTAAACATCCCATGGCAGCCCCGAGGCCCGCTACACTTAGACCTATTTTTAATGGCACCAGCGGACGTAAAACTCGAGATATCTAATCAAATTCTCAAAATTTAAGCAGCGCATGCCTCGTGTCGTACTATAGTGTTTCTTTTGTGTGTAATCATAATGATTTTTTTTTTGAAAAGCAGAAATACTTTTTGAAAAAACGCCCAACCCGAATAAACAGGGAGGGTTACATTTACATTATTTGAGACATTTTATACATCGGGATCAACCCAATAAAATCACTGAGTTCGGATGCACAGAGTCAGCTACCCGAGTCGAGACAGGAGGGCTGTTTTTTCAAAGAGATAGTAAAACGCATCAAGGCTAAGGACTGATCTCAAAGACATATGCAATATGCAGAGCTTAAGCTACAGCTCGAGCAGATGGCACTTGATCCTACTGGATTTATGGATGTTTTCTAAAGAAATGTGAAATCCTGTATTGGGTTTTTGAAACGAGTAGGTGTACTTTTTCTGATATAAAATCCAATGTAAAATTGGTCAAGAAACGGCGCAAGCTCATAACCCAATAATAACATAGAAATATATATCCTAACGAATATTTAATATAGGGTTAGATTGTACACTTTGTTTCTTTTATTGGCCGCATTGGCTTCATTCACTTAAAACAGGCACCGGAATAGCGTAGAGCCTGATAATGTAAGTTGTAGATTTTATTACGCACTATGTATAAATTCATTACAAGCCGTCAACCGAGGATATTAGCCGCAATGTATCTTGGTCGACTTCTCAAAACCGCAGTCCACTATTACCTATCTCACGCGAACGACATTGTAAATAATCGGGTGAACCCCTTTCTTTTCTAGGTTACTGTGGGTTATTCTAAGAAACGGAGACAAGCTGTAGGTGATTTGAGCGCGATCCCTCTACACGGAAGTACAATGCAGATAAATACTGACTGAATGACTGTCGTAGGATAAACGCATTCTACTTTGGAGATTTTGAAGTTATGCGTGCGAACGAGCCACTAGAAGCGACGGCTGACGTATGCGAAAACATGACGCCTGCAGCCAACTACACTAGATTCTTTTGGGGGCCCAGATATAGACTCTGTGGCTCCCCCTTTATTAAATGCAAAAGCACACAACCTATTTGGTGATTTGAGTTTTGTTTAGCATAAGTGGGTGTCATCTCACGGACTTATGACGACTGTAGAGTGCCACAGGGGCTCTCTGATGTGCTGATTGTCGAGCTCAAGCTGGATATAGGTGATACTTAGGTTAGTTTTGAGAAGAGGACTGCCTACAGACACACAAATGCAAACTATAGTTATGAAATCCCGAAAAATACCAGTTGACTTTTTTGTCATTTACGTTACAGCACACGTGTATGCATGTGCCGCGCCCCTCATCACTGATCTTGTAGCTTTTGTAAGTTTAAAATTTCGTCTAGAAGCGAGACCAGCTGTGTAGTTGTTAACTGGATTTTCCCACTTTTAATGTTTGTAGCTAACGGCTGGTTTATCTTAAACGTTTACTTTATTCGAAGATAGGCGTGACATTTAGATGTCAACTAAGCAGTGACGTTCATCTTGGCAGCAGACTAGGCCTGACGAGGGAATCGTATGATAAAAATAACATATTCACGACAAATAAAAGCCGTTCTGGAGCGCCCGGGCACATCTTGAAGAAATGATGATGATGATGATGATTGATAATAGCTCTAAGTTGCAATGATTCACTTAGTTCCGCCCTAAGGCAAGGCTCAAGTTTGCGTATAGGAGGCCTTCTCAATGCGATTATAACTCTAACCAAAAAGCCGATTGACAATCTCTAAACATAGGATAGAGAATAACTTGTTTTCGAGCCATAGGATGAAACAGTGCGACTGTGATCTGTCGCCTACTAGATATTATGTAATCCCTTATTTTGCGTAATCTTTGCTCTCTGTGAGTCAAGCTTTTAAAAACTAATGCTCTGGATTTACAGTCTTCGATCGATTATCATTAGGCAGGCCAGCAGGAGCAACGAGAGCCGGCCTAACGGTTTCTAATAGGGCGTAAATGCTGACTGAGAGTAGTACTTGCGGGCCAAAGCCATAACTTAACGAAGTAGAAACATCCTTGCATAAATATTTGCAAGCACCAGATCATGTAAAACGGGGAACGATCGAGTTGTCTCCAGGTGGTACGAGGGTAGGTAGTTCAGTGACTGGGACAATTGGTTCACCAAACATTTTCAACGAGTTACGTTATTACATAGCCTTTGTGATCCCATTGATTACGACGTGTCGCTAAGTACACGCATCAACAGATTTATCGTAAATATTCTTATCAACTCTATAAGGTCCAGCTGCAGCTTTTCTCTCAAATCAGAGCTGGACATCTGTATTTTGGCAAAAAATTTTTGCACTTCAGTGCTGTATTCAACACGTTTTTTGCCGTTGAAAATGCAGAGCAAGCGATTTGTTGTAGCCAGCGAAAGTTACTCCATCCTTTTAAGCCGATGAGAAAACCTTAAAGCGTCTTATATATACATATATAGTTCATCTTACACGAAGCCCATAACATTTACCGAAACTCGTTTTAAACACTATGATAGAACATTAGGTTTCAAAGCCCGCTATTTTGACCCAGCTTGATACACTCTGGCTTACCGCATTAATATTAAGGACACGCTCAACTGTTCAATTTTTTTTCAAATATATTTTTACCTGCGGACCAAATGCTGATAATTAGGCATAAGCAGGTATAGAAAGCTTCACTGTGAAATATGATAAGCATTAAGTGGGGTCGTAGAGTCATATGGTAGCGATGTATTACTGCAGCCGCAAAAATCTCATAAGCCTAATATATCTACCCATAGTGAGAATGTAAAATCTACAAAGAGGCCTTATGCTATTGTCAGACCCTGTGAATAGGGCGGTCTAGTGCTGCCCGGCATTACCAATGGCGGAATTGAAACAAACTTCGCCTCGGGACACTAAAAAAAAAAGGACGCCATCTTTTCACCTTGCATCTCTGCTGTCTCACAAAATGGGAAAAAACGTTCATATAGGCTCTAGTCCTAGAAAGGCTTGCGAGTCGGCTAAACTAGTCTGCTGATCCTATGTATGCCACGATCGATTTCTGTATACTTTTAATTCCTGCCAACGCACAAAAAGTACGATGTCGTCTCTGGTTAACAAAAGACGATATGCAACATATTGCCCGATGGTGGCCGCGTAAGGTTGCCAAACTGATCGAATATAAGCCAGTTCTCTTCTACAGTTATGTTGTTGAATAGCCATATGTTTTGTAGAGTTGCACACATATTTGCACTGTGCCAAACTCCTTGTCAGGTTATATATAATGACCCCTCGCGTATGTTCTTCTGGGGAAGTTATTGATTAACGACGTTGATACGATCTATGATATAGCGAAAATGCTGACGGAAAACCCATACTCACAATCTTTATATACGGTACCCTGGCCAGAGTGGAACGTCCAGCTCAGATCGGTCTAGTAAGGCTTTTTCTTGATAGTCGTCTCGTTGGCCCTCTCAACACTAAGCCCCAATTACAAAGGCAAAATTTTCATACTAGATGTACGCTTGTGTGGCAGTTCAGCCTTTACCTGGGCCCCGCTTCACATATGCCAAGTCAGTGGATTTTAAACTGATTAAGGTTTTTTCGATAAGGAAAAACAGTAACGTCTCAGTGGTAGTGGACATTGGGCTTTTAACTTGTTTGCCTCCCTTCACAATAAGCAAGTAATTGCGATAATTATAGGATTTAATTATCATTGAAGTAATACACTTATCCGCTTATTTTTTTCTAGTAATCTATTTTCAACAGGACTACGGGAACTGAATAATTTGATGGACACAATTTTGGTGAATATGGTTTCTTCTAAACGGATGCTATGGAGCATTTTCATATGTGCTAGCTTTGTTCCACTTAAATCTCAAAAAAACAAAACATGCCAAGAGAAATATCTAGACATTTGAAGCTCTAGCTAGGGCAAGATTTAATAAGTTTAGAGGGTAAACATAGGCTTCTAGTTATATTGGCGTGATTCTTAAAAATCGTGAGTTTGATGTTTCGCTTTGTCAATAACTTCGATTACTGCAAATCTTTATGTCCTGTTTAACGTTAAAAAACTGCGAACACAGATATTCCAAACGATTGACAGGCTAATTCATTACGCCACACAACGTAAACATAGTTCTACCTTCGATGTTTTAGCTCGTATTCGTATGTACCCTGAACTTTCAATTTTTCATATTTCCCGAAAACGAACCCATAAAGCTCGAGGAAAAGTTACCACAAGGGACTGGTCCAGCTCGAGGAGGGAGTCATCTACC